GTGGGAATTTCCAAAACAGGATATTCAGTGTGGGTAAAACTCAAGGTCAGTTTTACCAACCCAAACATGACCACCTAGCAAACTAGTTATCCTCAACCATAACAAGCGATTAAAATGTCTAGCACGGAAGTACTGAGCCAAGTTCAAGCACACACTAAAAATATATGATCAAAACTATAGATTCATCAAAATAACAACGTAGACGCAAAAAGGCGAGACTTAACAAAACAAAAGGTAAACCTAAAAATACACGAAATATCAATCCTTGAAAAAGCTCTACAACACTACACAACAAAACGTCTAATAAGATATATATATAAGTGTTATGAGAGGAAAAAAGGACGTAACTACATTTCCCGACAAGCCTGTTTCGTGAATCGCTTCACTCTTCAGGGGTTTAATGAAAGAATATTCATGTGACTATCGTTTATATACTAGGAAAACAAGCGATTATTAATCCTCAAATTCAGTAAGATGATACTAAATGAAATTCTTAGCACTATTTCCAGCTGTTTGATTGACATTCTTGTGTATCCGGAGTTCCGCCATTGCACGCCCACGCTCTGTTAATGTGAGGTTTCCTTGGGGAAAATAGTGCAGGGTGGAAGTACGCGACATTAGGCGATAGATCATCCGTGAAGTTAAGAGTAAAGCCCGGCCTTTCATTCAAGGGAAAACTGGAAAAGGGAAAACTTGTTAAGTGTAGAGCCGTAAAAACTAATCGGTCAGACAACGCCCTTAAGAATGATTACATCAGCAGTCTTCTAAAAGGGAGGAGACCCTCCAACCACTCCTTCCCCCCCGAATAAAACACTTCCTCTGATTACAGAGATAGGGAAAGTTGCCAAACAGCTCAAGTTGTAATCAGCTCAAGAAGGCATCTCTTTTAGCTACCATAATTATCAGCCGGCTAAGCCATTTGGAAACCGAGAAATAGAGAATGCCAAGGACTTTATTGCATCAAATTACTCAGTTGTATATAGAACTCGTCTCATTTTTTACCTGTTCAGTTCTGTTTGAGTTTCTTATGCCCGAGACACATTTTGAACATAATCGCTAACTTTTTTTCGAATTATTTCTTTTCCTAACTTTCTTTCCTCCCTCTATTCTCGTTCAGCGTTTATTGAAACATACTCCTTCATTCAGTAAGAAGTGTTTCCAAATTTCCCTGGCCCGGTTCATTCTTTCATCGGCCCCCCTTAATGAGTTTTCCAGACGTGTTCCTTAGATCACTTTCTGATGTGTTTCAATGGGTACTCTTGAACGGGGTCGCAGGTGCGTTCTAGAGTCCCCTCCACTCCTCTCCACTCGCCTCCCCTCTCCTCCCCCATGCGTTCCCCTATTGTTTCTTTTGATCCTTGAAACCCTAAGAATGACTAGTATCTAATTTCTCCCCACGAGATCATCCCTAAATATAAAACATCAGGGTCAGGAGAAGAAAGGAAATGATCACAAACCTGAAGAGCTCTTAAAATTTTTAAACAAATTCGCCTTGTCATCATCCGGCTAAGGAAACGTATGGAAAACACTATCCGGAGAATATGCAAACTGATATTTGGGTATTTTAGGGTTACACGTTTTTTAAAGCGCTCCCGATGAATTTTCTGTCCGTCCTGTCGCTCACTTTTGTCAACTTTTTTTTTTTTTTACCGCTTATTGACAAGTATAACTGTTTCCCAAACTTAATTTGAGGACATGCATCGCAACACTACTGAATTTGACCACTTTTTGGTCAAACAGCAAAGTATTTGTAATAACGTCGACAAAACACTCAGTTTTGTACAGAATCTTTGTGCACTTGTTCCTTGCAGTACGTACTCCACTTGTTAAATATAATCTTAAAAATTTGCTCTCCATTTATGGCAAGTTTCCAGCAGCTCATTGGCATTCCCCGAATGCGGTCCCAGTCAGGATGGAGATCCTGTTCCAGCGGACTTGTCATTGCTTTGTTTGATTTCTCTCTAATCTATCTTTTTTCCATGATTTATTCCTTTTCCCATTTTGTTCCTAGCTTATAAATAGTCTGGAATGTCATCTTATACTAGTCCCACTTCTAACTGTGTTACAACGAACATTTCAGTTACCACTCATTGACGAGTTTAATCTTTCTGTCAGACTTTATTTGAGAACATGCATCGCAACGCTACTGAATTTGAACATTATTGAACTGGCAAATAACAGAGTATTCTTAATAATTTCATCCTTCAGGCAAAATTTTTTCTTCTGAAAGTTTGTGCATTTGATCCTTAAAGAACGATCCACTTGTTACATATAAACTTGAAGTTTGCACTTGATTTCAGTCAAGTTCACCGCAGCGCAGTGGATACACATTGTTCATGTTGTACTGCAAAGGCGATCCCAAATAGTTTCTAATTCAGATCCTAGCAATAGAGGAAGAGGAACTTGCCGCCTTCTTTTTTGCTTTTTTACTTTTTTTTTTCAAATCATCTTGGGTATATTTGTTTGTTTTTCCATGATTTACCTCGTTTATAAATAGCCGTGAATGTGTTTGTTTACGGGTGTTTTGATTTGTACAGAAGCGGATGTTTTTCCACACGATGACAAGTTTACATTTTTCCCAAACTCTTAAAATTGGGGACATGCTTGTGAACTCTTTAAACTTGAACAAGATCAACTAAAGGGGTCAATGTTTTAATAATGTCATTTTGAGTCAAATCACTTTCATTTCAGTATGTTTCGCCATTTTATTCTAGCAGTACGTAGTCCACTTGTAAATGATGACGCGTTAATTTCCTTTTTAATGTTATGATTTGAAAATTATATTTCAAACACGAAAAGATAAAGAGCATAAAAGTCCAACATTCTCTAGAAAAAAACACAAAAAAAATCCAACCACACCTAAAATTGTGACGTATCTGCTGTCGATTCGACGTACGTTTTGATCCATATTCATGAAAAATTACAATTACACCTCATTTCAAACTGTTGGCGGCCACGTAAAGATGTCTTCTCCGATGTCTCTCTGTCACAAAAGTTTGAAGGAAAGGAATGGTTACTTCTCTGAATGTTAGGAATTCAAGCGCACGGTAAGTATCAAATTGCGCATGGGAGTTTTACAGTAAATTTAAGAGGAAACTAGTAGTAATGTACGAATTTAAGGTTTACCACGCGCGTTTGGGATTTCGATCACGTCAAGTAACTTTCTGACCTTGGGTAAAACTCCTTCACACCAGCGTTTTCAGTTCTGTTTTTGTCATGACCTTTAGAACCAAAACCTACGTTAAATATATAATTTCAGTTCAGTCACAACTTGAGTTCAGAGTCCATAGAAACGTTACGGTGGCCAATTTACAATTTCAACTTAGTTGATATAACCAAATTTCAGAGTCCATAAGTCGTTTAATATTCAGAGTGGGACATCACACTTGTGCGATGAAACGTGGCGAGAATAAACAAATAATTTCCTTCACCTCTCCGAACGTTATCTTTTCAAGCCAATCTTATCCGGAAAGTCACCGTTATTTAAAATAAAACTAAACTGTTGTAGAAGTGAAGTAATGTCATAGCTTTAAGGTTTTCTTGTCATGATGCTAAATATCTATTTCATGTTTCATTTTCAGACATAAACCTCGGAGAAGACAGCAATTTGAACAAGCACAACAAGTTGAATTCACAAGCGAGAAGCAACGGATTGTTAAGCACTGGGGAATGTCGTAAAGATAAGAATGTAGACTAATTAAAACGCTAAAACATTTCGATAAAATGGTGGTTTGAATATCTGCTTGTCCTATTGTTCTTCCACCTGTACAATGTACAAATCTTTAGAAACAAGAGAGCATGCAAATACTGAGATAATCTGAAACAAAATTTGGCCAAAATTGCTGTTTACTCGAAGAAAATAAGATTTAAAACCTGCGATGGAAGTAATTATACGTACAAAGAGAAATTACTGCGAAATCGATTTTTCTCCAGTTTAGACAAAGACGTTCTGCGAGATGCTTTCTCTAGAATTTTCGTTTGAAATATCCTGCATTTGTTGACTAGGTTAACAACAGAATTGCAATTTAACTTCTAAGATGTACTACCACCATTTAAATCGGATATTAAGCGACATTTAGTCCTCGTATCAAGTGGCACTGCAATTCTAGCTCTCGGCTAGTTAAGAAGTTTAGCAGACTAAATTTGTGAAGCATCATTACAACTTTGAAACCCTATTCAGTGTGTGTCCGGCAAGTTTGATCAATTTGCAGTGATCGAAAATTAGGACACCAATTTTTACTCGTTAGCCTCTCAGTTTGTCAACAGTGCCACTTGATTTAAATAATATAATTAGTTTGAATTTCCAATCTTAGTTCTCAAAAAGAAATTGCTAGTGCACTTTGTTGTCTGCGAGATTTTGGCACATAAGCCCTAAAGGCGATCAAAGCCTTGTGGCTAAACTTCATTTTTACTTTCACGTTTTTGAAAAAGCTAATGTACCACGGTATGGTACCAGGACTGCGGCTAATATTCGCGTATTCTTTGTTGAAGTACATAAAGTTGACACAGACACAGAAACAGAAACAAAGGGAGAACACAGTTATCGCTAATTATTGCTGAATAAAAAATTAACTTTGCCCTTAAGATTTAAGTCGAAGTTTCAACAATCAGATATCCTATGAAGTACGTTTCTTGCAATTGAAATTCTCATTTACAAAATCGAAAAGAGAAAGTTTGTTTTCTTTTTCGATTAATTTGAAATTTTCACTCGCTGAGCTAAAGCTTGAACAATCATCAAGTTATATTTGGTGTAACTCGATAGTTTACCTTTCGTTTTCACGCAGTAAGCTGAAATAAATTTTATTTGCGCACAATTTAGCAGGTTTTTCAAAATCAAAACGAAAAGAAAACTTTACAATGCAAAGCTAGGAAACAAAACAAACGGCAAGAGTTCTATCTAACCCCATACATTAATTATGCATGGAGTGTTGCAAAGAAACCTTTATATTTGGTCCCTATGAAATGGAATGCATAATTAATGTATGGGGCTCTATGGAACTCTTTCCAAACAAACTAACATCATAATTTGACATTTCGAATAATTAGACAAGTAAAATGATAGAGAATTTGAACTCTCGGTGCTGCAAAAAAAAAATGATACAGGGACCAGCATTTAATTTTTTGAGAACTATATTGGTTATGTTAGTTGATGTTCCTACATACTGGAAGAGAAAGAGGCGAGACATCTATCTGAAGCAGTAACCAAACAAAGATTTTAAGATTGGCAAACTATGAAAATTACTATCCAAATAGATGAATTCTCTCGGGCTTAAAAAAGGATTACAGTACATGCGAATCCCCAAATGAGAGCGACTAGTATAGGTTTGGAGGTAACGTTGCAAGACATCTTTTCGATACAAAAATATAATATTCAAATTAACCACCAGTGATTAAAAATCCTTTGGGGAATTTAATTTAATAAATTCTTTCGTGTTAATCAAAACTTGTACTGTGCATTCATGAATTGTCATAACTATATATTCCAAATTAAAGCAAAACTGACAATTGTTGATTAATGATGACCACAGACCTCGGAATTTCTACCAAAAAAACATTCAGACAATTGTATCGACAACCATTGATATTATCAACAAGGAATTTCCAATTATTTTAAATTCTCCCGGCTTTGTAAAACAAAATCCTAATCGAACACGGACGAATTGTCTTGATATCCTACCAAGCTAAGAGCAGAATAATTTGGAACAGAGTTGTCTCGCCTCTTTACTTACGGTGTGCAGGTATAATCTTGAGGAACATGGCAAGTCAATGTTAACTTGAGATACAATTTGAAAATTTCAGTCTGTTTGGTGGATTTTGATAAAAATTAAGAGACGAATTTTATTTTGAGTCAACTTCAGTAAAATATTTTAACTTGCCCCGTTATTTAACTAATTTTTTCGCCATTTCCTTCGTGGTATGTAAACACTGGGCAAAATACAGACGGCTACATTCGAACTGATCGGTAGAAACTTCTTAAAGTAGCTTTTTGAGAATCCACAACCCACTTTTCATTATTTGATGGAAATATTTTCTTCGGAAAGACTAAAATCTTTGTATTTTGTGCCTTGTCGAAGGTGGCCGAAAAAAAAAATGCAAACAAACAACCTTGTACAAGACTTTATTCTTAAAATAAAATGCTGAAACTGGGCAACCATTTTTCGAAGAAAGTTTTGTACGAGGTTCTGTTCATCTTTTGGCGGAAAATTTCAAGGGAAACCATTTTGAATTTTTTGTCGAAAATGTTATCCGGGGAAACTTTGTGCAAATTGCTCCACATTTTCCCGCCAAAAGTCTTAGTATGTATTTAAACGTGTTTTTCTTGATATTTAATGGAAATCACTTAACTAATTAAAGAACACTTGAAAGTTACTTGTAATTTATTGAACGAAATAAAGACATGAAAAAATGCACATTGCAGTGTTTATTGATCTCTATTAAATAATATACATCAAGTGAGAAAACTAACAAATTCATTTTATTTACACTCTAAAAAAAAAAAAAGACGGCGCATGCGCATTTTGGGCGCCTGTATTTTTTCCAAAACTGAATCTTTTTGAAAGGATGTTACTTACAGAGTTTTCAAAACAAAAAAAAAATGGCGCATGCGTGTTTCAAGCGCCCGTATTTTTCCTTAGTTTTTTGGCGGGAAAATTAAACAATTTTGATAGGGGCTTGGAAGGCAAAGAAAAATGACAAAAAAACATACTCGCGGGGTGATAGAATAAAAAAAATTATTGAGTTTCGCAAAAATAGCTAAACTTTGACTCGGAATTGTAATCAGGTGATTGTTTTTCTTAATAGATATGAAACTGAATATTTATCTTTAAAAAACAAAAGCGAAGGTGCACAGTATACACTTTTTACTTTTGGATAAAACAGATCAAAGATTTGAAATACGGACATTTTCACGAGTCACAAATTGTGTATAAAAGTGCCGTCTGAACGATGCTTAATACCAAAAACAAGAGATAAAATTCCTTCAGGACTGAATACGACCGCGGAAGACAGTTTACATTTAGTAATCGTGACCTTGTGAACAAAACTCTGAAAATTCATATCCACAAATTCCTTCTTTCGTCGTTTATTCTCGTGATTTATCCAAAACATTTTGATCTCACTTAGTTCTCCAATTATTTTGAAAACTTTCCGGGATTTGTTTTTTAAAGGTAGATAATTTACGTCATTCGTTATTGTAAGGACTGCTAGCTCGTATTTGAAAAAACCGCAATTTTAATCGGTTTGTTCAGTTTGTTTTCATAATTCTGTGTCTTGATGCTTAAACGATATTGAGAAAGTCCTCACTGAGGCCAGTTTTGAAACAAACGTCATTTGAAAACTTAAATCTGGCCAGTGAATAATCGAAGAAGACGAAAAAGCTAAATTAAAACAAAATTCCTGCCTGAGAGGCTGATAATTTTTGAAAACGAATCCAATCAAATTTGTTTGATAAATCGCAAATTTTCATCCCAAACTCTTAAAATTGATTTGTAACTAGAAAAAAAATATTGCGTTTAAAGTGCAGCTTCGCAGCCTATGAACGTTTATCTCCAAACTGTCCCAATTCAAGATTCTACCTTTAAAACATGTAAACTTGATTTAAATCCAGCCACTTGTCCATTTTCCACTTTGATTTCAATCCAATTCCTTGTCCACTGGCTTGATTTTAGACCAGTCACATGTCCATCTGTCAGACGTCAGTAATAAAAGTGATAAACGAGTGACCTTTGCCTAGAATCCTATAAGAGAAGAGCATAAATAAAAAACAGCTGATTAGACTCATTTTCAAAGAAAAGAAACAATAAGATTCCTATTTGTGATCGTTGTGATAGTAATAAAATAAACCAGCGCTGTATATCCCCTTAAATTTCATTGAAGGACGAAGACGTTTACAAAAGTTTACACTCACGGTATAGTTTTAAAAGGACGTCCAATTTATGAAGAAAGATCTGTTGAGGATTGAGACTGTCTCCGTTCCTTTAAACGGTCTTTATTTTGAGTAAATAATCGTAAATTCCGCAGAAAAGGTTCATCTATCATCAGTATTCAGTAAGGAAGAGAGGATGTCCATTAAATGCAATGAAAATTCTCCTCCACGTGTAGACGGAGAATACTAATGAAGAAATGTGGGGGATCGGTTGAAATTTGTTTGTTTGCAACAAAACTTAGTGGTAGATAACAAATTACGCTGTAAATACAAACTTTAAAATGATTTTGTCACTATGTTCTTAACCAAGCTGCCCGTCTAGGCATTGTATAACACAGGGATTAACCATTCACACAATTAACTAGTGGACCACTGAGTGCTATTAAGACCTCAACGTTTATTTACTGTGAACATTACTTTAATCCTCTCAAAAAAATATGTTTTCTCAGTATGTTCCTCCAAAGTCAAATCTCTTCGAGTGCATTACGTTTACTTTTCTCTCAATGTTAGTCTCAAGAATTTGATGTTAAATCAATATCCTACATCCTGATGTTGGTTGATATCACAAAAGGTAAACGAATTTCAATTGCTTAATCACTGTAGAGCTCAAAGTACATTTTCTAAAATCTCTGGTTTTTCCTCTGTGGATTTTGTTCCCTTAACATCACGAGAAAGTTACAAAATAAATTCCCGTTAGTTCGGAGCATAATTCAGTAAATCAAAAAATACATAATTAACTCTTGGTTAATCTTTTTCAATGTTAGAGGCAAAAAAAAAAGCCTTCGACACATTTTACTTTAAGAAAATTTATAATAGTTTGAAAATTCATGGCTGATAAATGGTTTGAATGCATTGTGTCAGAGATTGTAATCGTACTAGTTACAATTCAACTTTTAAACCATGCCACATAACACACACTTAAATTTGAAAAATCAGTTCCAAGCTTCTTTTCCCTTGTAATAAAAAAAAGGAAAAGTTGAATTAAAAATATATAAAAGAAGAGGTTCTTTGGCTGATTTGAGTAACTTGTGTGATGCTCATTTGGAAATGATTAGAATTAGTCACATGCCAATAATACAAGTTAGTTCCCTCAAAATGAATTATGACTTAATGTTCTGTTCAACGGACTTACCGAAATTAAACAATTTTGAATGGAACTGATTTACAGAACATGATCAGTTCAATGAGTAAAAGCCAGAGAGATTGACATGTAAGAAAAACACCAAATGTCCTGTTCACAGTAAAATAAAATACAGTTAAACCTCCGATAAGCAACAACCTCAGATAAATAAAGTGACTGGTTCATTATTTCAGGTACATCTCTCCCAAATTTAAAGTAATCTGACCACAAGTTGGCTACTTGAGACAATTTTTTTGACTCAAGTAAATTATTAACTTGTCACAAAATAATTTCTTGACTTTTGAGGCATAATCACTGAAACAATATACATGTAATTCTGGACTGTTAACAGAAGAAAACGACTCTCCCTTACCCAGTCATTCCCAGATTAGTGTTTCAGTTGGGCTATTGAATGCGACAATGTCTCACGCAAGGGGCCACCTTAACCCTTAACCTTAACCCTTAACCTTAACATCAGTATGCATATTCTCCATACTGTTCTCTATACATTTCCTAAGGGGCTGACAAAGAGAATTTGTTTAACAATCAAGAGCTTCTTTGGTTGGTGACGGTTTCCTTTAATCTTGTGAACATAATGATCAAATTTGTTTTAAGGATACCACAGGCCTTTGTTTCTCTCACCACTCGTATGTCTTTTCTATTCTTATCTCCTCCCACTATAGATCTCCAATGCTGATTTGGTGTTTCCGACAAAAGTACACATGGTTTTCATATCAAGTTTCAATTTAGCCTTGATCTAAACCTGACTCCAAACACATGAAGACTGGTATCCCAGCAATTGAAAGTTCACAGACATGCCATTACAGACTGATATTCAAGTTTCTCTTAAAGTGCCACTATGATCAAAATTTTGCATTGCCTTTTCTTTTCACTTCTGGAAACTAGTAGTAAGAAACACTTACCATGCCAAGTTTAATCGCAAAATTCTCACAGGAAGTATGATTATTTCAACCTTGTTTTTCGTTTTTGGTCGCCCGCCATTACTCAATTCAAAAATGGCCGAGTGTGGCAAAAAGAGTTGGCACTAGTTGGAGCCTTTAGGAAGTGACGTCATATGCGCAGCTCAACCTAAAAAAATGTGGCTAAATTTGTATGCCATTTGGAAGAGGAATTCAAGGAAGAATACATCTTATAAAACGCCTAGAATTTCCACTGTGGAATCTCTCACACACACGAAGCACGATGCAAAAGTGCGCATATGACGTCACAAGCCAACTCATGCGTAAAACCGCTTTTCAGTTCAGTCGCTGGCTCTTGGTTGCGAGCTGAGTAATAGCAGACGGGTTTTTCGTGAATTTCGGCCAGCTATATCAAGGTGTATTTTGCTTCCATCGACCTAAAAACTATAGCATAGTACAATTCTAACCATATTAACTTGATTGGTGATATAAAATGTCAAAACCAAAGACAAAAATTTTCGTCGTAGTTGCACCTTAACTTTCTTACAATAAATTGGAAAGATTGTCATGTTTTTGTTTCTCTAAGGTCGTCACTTGGGAAGATTTGACTGTGTCAGATGACAATGACAAGCAATTTACCACGAAGGAACCATGCTTAGCTTCTTATGAATGTGTAGCCAGATCATCACACTAACTTGGAATTTAATAGGGCTGTTACTTAAAATGTTTAATAATTCCACATTGTACTAGAAGCCCGATAAAAGCAGGCATAAGGAAGGGGAAAAAAAGGGTGTATGTTTGGATGGGTGTTTTCAAAAAGGTCACCTATCTTCATTGTGTATTTTTTACCTTGAAGTATCCTCCACCAAATTTTTTTTCTTTAAAATTCCACAATTCTGAAATTACACAGTTCTTAAACTCATTTGAAATTCAAATTGAAGGATAAATTTGTTCAATTTATGATTTCCCTCTGATTTTCAATGCTTGGTTTTGAATCAGACACCTTCAAAACATATGCAAAGTCTTACTAAGTTCTCAAAATCAACTCTTCTCAAAGTATCCCTGCTGCTGACAGGATGTACTAGTTCCTTGGCACTTGGTGCTTCAGCACAAGTATAGATTTGCAGCTCAGCTAATGTAGCAAGTATCATGGGCTCATAAACAAATGGCAGCATTTCGTGGTGAACATGGACTGTAATTATGAGCCAGTAGCAGCAATTCATCTCAGAGTGTCAATTGCAAATTTGCATTTAGAGATGAAGACAAGCATCTTGATGCATCTTAATATAATTTTGTATCCACAGCTAAATGAAGAACTTTTAGATCAACTGACCATCTACTACAAACAATGATTCTGATTGGTGACTTGAAATCTTTTCCTCCAAAAAGTTAAACATCTCACAAAGGTGAACTCAGGCCAAGGAGAGGGTGGGGTGAGAGGAAGAACAGAGGGCAGCCCTAGTTTAAAAGAGACTAAAGACCCATTAACAGATCTATCTTCCAGCAGGAAAAAGATAATTGTTGACGCATTTCATAAAAACAGAATTAATCTTGGTATATAAGGTAAATTGCACATCTAAGATGAATTTTGAACTGAACTTGGCTTGCACAAGAGCTTTGTTTACCTTGTTCATTCAGCAGTTGGATTGCAAAGTAAAACAATCATAGCATTAAGACTGCTGCTACATCCTGATCACTTGGGCTCTGGTTCACTTCATCTTCATCATCATCATAGCATCCATTCTACAAAGTAAAGATTCCCTTCATTAATCCCAGTTAGTACCAATGTAAATACTGGCTTGAGTCTAGGTTTGACTTTACATCAACAACTGCTCAAATAAAAGTATACCAAGCCAATAAATGAGCGATAAAGTAGGTAAATGATAGCCACCTAAAAGACAAATTCTATATTGAAATGATGTTTCATGATGAAATCACCCCTGATTATCAGAAAGGTTTGCCCATAGGAATAAAAAGGAATAATAATACAGGTTATGAAGCCAGAGCAAACTTTAAACACTGATTCTCCACAGTACTCAAAAGACTGGTTTAGAGAATAATTTTTACAGAACTGTTTAAGTTGTTATTTATAAAAGGCATTTGCTAAATGAAATATAATGCTCAAGGGACATTTCTATAGAGAATTGTGATTCCTATACTGGCCTTTAATTGCACATTTGCAATTCAAGAAGGGATATTTGAATTCACAAGTGCAATGGGCTGTTGATCATGATTTGCCAATGTTCACCACAGGGGGCCCAGACAAGCGACGAGTCTGGTTGTTCATTCAAAATATAACGTATAGTAACAGTCGACGCAAAACCCACCAAATTGCTCAAATTTGCCATTTAGAGCCACAGAAACGACAACACCCAGCAAGTGAGGTAGTTTACATTTATTTTGAGCTTTAATTCAGACACTTTATGATATAAGTTTACGATAATAAGACTCTTCAATATTCTCCCATACATTCCTTTATATTTCGAATGAACAACCAGACTCGTCGCTTGTCTGGGCCCCCCCGTGTGTTCACAACTGTCACTTCTTACCGCTCACTTGTTTGAAAAAAGTCACTTGTGGGTATAATATTCAACAAGCAGAAAACATGCTGCTGAACTGACACAGACGTCACAATGATGGGGATTGAAAAAACCTTGCAGGTGCAGAAAACATTATAAGGTAACACATAATGGATGAAAAACATCAAGAATTAGAAGTTAAAATCAGTTGGCAGTAAGTGGTCAGTTCCTCATTCAGACAATCTGTCAGGCTGTCAGGCTGTCAGTGATCAGCAATCACTCAGTCAGGTTTCAAACAATTTGAATATATCAACAAAGTTGAAATGGTAAATTGGCCACCGTTAGCCCTTGGCCCGCGTTAGCCCTTTGCTCCGACGAAGGGCTAACGCTCGAAATGTCAGCTTTTATAATCGTAACGGTGGCTAATTTACCATTTCAACTTTGTTGATATATTCAAATTATTTCGTTACCCCCACCGACGCAGCCCCAAACAGTTTCTTTAGAAACTATCAGCCTTTATTCACCAGGTTTCACACAGTTGAGTCAGTCAGTCAATACCGTAATCGCAGTGTCAGTTATTGAGTCAATCCTTCATGAAATCAGTTAAACAGTCAGTCAGTAATATGACCACAGAGAAGTTCAGAAAGTCAGAAAAGTAATCACACAGTCAAACAGTCAGTCAGTAATATAATCACAGAGTACGTCATTCAGTCAATCAGTCATGTAATCACACACTTGCGTAGTCAATTAGTCAGTTGGTGATGTAATCACAGAGAAGTTCACACAGTCAGTAAAGTAATCACACAGTCAATCAGTAAAGTAATCAGAGTAAGTCAGATAGTCAGTCATGTAATCACAGTCAGTCAGTCAGTCAATCAGTCAGTCTGTCTGTCATAAAACAGTCAGACAGTCAGTCATGAAATCACAGAATCAGTCAGTCAGTCAGTCATGTAATCACACAATCAGTCAGTCAGTCAGTCATGTAATCACACAATCAGTCAGTCAGTCAGTCATGTAATCACACAATCAGTCAGTCAGTCAGTCATGTAATCACACAATCAGTCAGTCAGTCAGTCATGTAATCACACAATCAGTCAGTCAGTCAGTCATGTAATCACACAATCAGTCAGTCAGTCAGTCATGTAATCACACAATCAGTCAGTCAGTCAGTCATGTAATCACACAATCAGTCAGTCAGTCAGTCATGTAATCACACAATCAGTCAGTCAGTCAGTCATGTAATCACACAATCAGTCAGTCAGTCAGTCATGTAATCACACAATCAGTCAGTCAGTCAGTCATGTAATCACACAATCAGTCAGTCAGTCAGTCATGTAATCACACAATCAGTCAGTCAGTCAGTCATGTAATCACACAATCAGTCAGTCAGTCAGTCATGTAATCACACAATCAGTCAGTCAGTCAGTCATGTAATCACACAATCAGTCAGTCAGTCAGTCATGTAATCACACAATCAGTCAGTCAGTCAGTCATGTAATCACACAGTCAGCGAGTCAGTCATGTTATCACACAGTCAGCGAGTCAGTCATGTTATCAAAGAGTCAGTTATTGAGCCAACCGGTCATGAAATCACACAGTTAATCAGAGAGTAACTCAGACAGTCAGTAATATATTCACACATCCAGTCAGTCACTCACTCAGTGATGCAATCGAAGAGTAGTTCAGTCAGTCAGTTATGTAATCACAGAGTAAGTTAGACAGTCAGTAATGTATTCACATAACCAGTCAGTCAGTTAGTCAGTCAGTTATGTAATCATGGAGTAAGTTACTCAGTCAGCCATGTCATCAAACAGTTAGTAAGTCATTCAGTCAATCATGTAATCACGGAGTAAGTTGGTCACTCAGTCATGCAATCAAAGTCAGTCAGAAATGTTAGCAGAGAGTCAGTCAGTCATGTAGTCACAGATTAAATTAGTCAGTCAGTCATTCAGTCAGTCATATAATCACAAAGTTGGTCAGTCAGTTAGTAATGTAATCAGAGTGAGTCACAGTCAGTCATGTAATCAGTCAGTCACGTAATCACACAGTCACAGTCTGTCATGTAATCACACAGTCAGTCATGTAAGCAAACAGTCAGACAGTCGGTCTATAATCACACAGTCCATCAGTCAGTCAGCCCTGTACGCAAATAGTCAGAAAATCAGTAATGTAATCACAGAGTAAGTCTAACAGTCAGTAATGTAATCACACAGTCAGTCATGTAATCAGTCAGTCACGTAATCACACAGTCAGTCATGTAATCAGTCAGTCACGTAATCACACAGTCAGTCATGTAAGCAAACAGTCAGACAGTCGGTCTATAATCACACAGTCCATCAGTCAGTCAGCCATGTACGCAAATAGTCAGAAAATCAGTAATGTAATCACAGAGTAAGTCTAACAGTCAGTAATGTAATCACACAGTTAGTCAGTTAGACTTTGTTAACAACAACAAAAAGCATCATCTTAACAGGGTGGGGATCCTCAAGTATAGGAAACTGTTCAAAAGTCTGAAACTCCCAAAATCTGTCTGGCAATTCCCTCTACTTCCTACCATACATTTCCTTGTAAAAAAAAGGAATAGGTGTTGCCTTGCTAAAAAAACCCTTTAGCTGATCAGCTTGCCTTTCTTGTTACCTAATTTCAGGATAATGTCTTGAGATTGCTAGGGAAAGTTACGTGAATATCACTTGGGCAAGCCTAAGGGTAAAACAGCAAGTCTGTCCACATGTTTTAAATCTAACGAGATAAGAAGATAATAAAACTATAGATCGTTTTCATGTGACATCATCAAATTCCAAAATTTAAAACTAAAGAGTCACAAAAATTTTTTTCCTCATCAAGCATAAGGGGGTTTAAATTAATATCTGTTCTCAACTTTTCAGCTCAATAGTGTACTTGGTTTGGAAACCAGCGCAGTTTGACGTTCACAGTTGTGGTGTTGCGTGACATACAGCTCCGATCGTGTCTGTCGCAAAAATATACACTTATCTGGTGATTTTTAGCCTTTTTATAATTAGGAGATTAATTTTTAGGAAAATTACATTTAATAATGTTTATTAGCTCAGTTCAGATAATCGGTCGACTACAAAGCCAAAGTAAGTTCCAGATGTTTTCCAGTCGCCATATTGGTGTACCAAAGAGGTGCACATGGCGGCTCCATATTGGGCTCTGATAATTTGTGCCAAACGTTTCGACAAATATTTGAAGTTTGGAAAAATGAAAAGGCCTAAGACTCCTATAACATTACAATTTCCTGACCTTATCCATTAAATAGTTTTTTATCTCAATACATTTCCAGTGTTACTGACCACAAGAATTTGTTTTACAATCCAGAATTCTTAACAATCTTTAGTGGCAAAAGTTATGGGGCGGGACTTTTGACAAGGGAACGATCTGGCTGAACTATTCTTAGAAAATGTTGATAGTAATATCTGGCACATACATCATTTAACTAAACTTTCATGAAAAATAAGCCTGGAAATCTTACATTGCTCAATTAATAAAGTAAGAACATCTTTCTCCTTTAAAGCCGGAACGTGCTGTAAGGATCTTGCGAGTCTCCCAACTCCAGCCTGCGAACAAAGTGAATATTACGTTACTCAGAATTCGCGCAAAGTATTGTGGAAATGGTTTCGTCGCTTCAAATAAGGAACAAACCTCTGATAAATCCCATAGTAGCAACAATTTTGAGAGTCTTCTTCATCGCCCAAATGGTATTTGCTTCGCTGCCATTTTCACACGAACGGCATGTCGGGAGTCGTGTTTCTTAACGTGCAACAATCGCGCCATCTTTGGTTGTAACGACGGGGAGAGCCACGGGACGAGAAAAAATAGCTAACTGTTGAGGACCAATCGTTATCTATCAGCTACGAGGTGGGGGAGGGGTGGAAGATTTTGAGAGGGTATCACATGGTTTTAGGGGGAACGGAGTATAAAGAGGGACTATGCAGTACTGACTGCAAATAAAGGGAGAAGGGGAGGGTTAAGTATTTTTTATTGTAACACAGCCAAAAACCTCCGAACTCCCCTCTAGGGATACATGATGACCAAACCCATACCGAAACCAAGTTCAAACGTCAACTAATGGCTGAAATTTCCCTTTGAATTATTATCTTGACACATATCTCTTTCAAGAAACTTAATCGATAATTCCAAACAGAGGTGAAAGAAATACATCCACCGATACGAAAAGCCAAAAAAAAAAATAATAATAATAATAAAACAAAACAAAACAAACAAAGAACACAAATGGCAGGTCTCTGAGCGCATGTAGTACAAGAAAGGAAGCATCGAGCCAAAAAACACTGCTTTACAACATACTAAAGCAAAGCGAAATGATACATAAGACAACATGCACGCAAGATACTAAAGAACAATCAAATGACAAATAAAACGACAAGAGTGCAAGATACTAACGCATCAATCAAATAACAGATTAAAACAACAAGTACACGAGAAACTAACACAACAATCAAACGACAAGTAAAACTACATTTGCAAAAAAATCTAACATAAAAATCAATTACAGGTTAAACAGTAAGTGCGCAAGATACTGACACAATGAAATGATGTATAAAAGAACAATGCGCGAGACACTAACGCAACAACGGGATGACAGATATACAACATATGCACAAGATACTAACGAATCAACCAAATGACAGACAAAACAACAAGTGAACACGATATTAACGCAACAACGGAATGACAGATAAAAACAACAAGAGCGCGAGGTACTAACACAACAATGGAATGGCAGATAAAACAACAAGTGCGCTAGATACTGTGTCCCCAATTAGTGCTATGCGCTAGGTTTTCACGACACATAAATAAAGTTCACTACTACTACTACTATACTAGCGCAATAAACAAATGACAGATAAAACAATCAATAGGGACGAGATGCTAACGTATCAATCAAATGACAAAGAAAACAACAAATGAACAAAATTCTAACGCCATAATGAAATGACGGAAAAAACTACAAGTGCGCAAGATACTAATACAACAATCCAATGACAGATAAAACGACAACTCCGCGAGATTCTAACACAACAATCAAACGACGGATAAAACAACAAGTGTGTAAGATACTAACGCATCAATCAAATGACAGATAAAACTATAAGTGCGCAATATTCTGATGTAATAACCAAAAGACAGACAAAACAAAAAGTTCGCGAGATACTAGATACTAACGCAATAATCAAATGCTTGATGAAAAAACAACGGTGAAAAATTTTAACGCAAGAATCAAATGATACACAAAACAACAAGTGTACGAGATACCAACGCAACAATCACAATCCCTGATAAAACAACAATTGCGCAAAATTCTAACGCAACACTCAAATGACAGATAAAACGACAACTAAGCACGAGATACTAACGCAACAATCAAATGACAATAAAACAACAAGTGCGCGAGATACTGACGCAACAATCGAATGACATTTAAAACAACAAGTGCGCGAGATACTAATGCAACAACGAAATGACTGATAAACAACAAGTGCGCGAAAGTGCGCAAAGAACTAACCCAACAATCAAATGACAGACATAAAAACAAGTGAACAAGATACTAACAGATAAAACAACAAGTGCGCGAGCTATTAACACAATAATCAAAAGACAGATGAAACAACAAGTGCACACGATACTAACACAGCTATCAAATTAGAGGTAAAACAAAAAGTGCGCGAGATAATGACGCAACAATCAAATCTCTGATAAAACGACAACTGCACAGGATACAAACGCAACAATCAAATGACAGAAAAAACGATAAGTGGGTGTATTACTAATGCAACAATCAAAGGACAGAAAAAACTACAAGCGCGTAAGATTCTAAAACAACAATCAAATGACAGAAAAAAACAACAGGGGCGCCAAGCTACAGCACCATAGTCAAATGACAGACAAAGCAACAAGTGCGCAAGATTCTAAAACACAAGCCAAATGACCGATAAAACAACAAGTACGCAAGATACAAGATAGTATGACAGATAGAACAACAAGTATGCGAGATACTAACGCAACAATCAAAAACCAGATAAAAACTACAAGTGTCCAAGATTCTAACGTAACAATCAGGTTCTAACGTAACAATTGTTAGGAGGCAGTGTGGCCGAGTGGTCAGCGTGTCGGACTCACAATCCGCCGCTCCCGGGTTCGAGTCTCGCCCTGACCACTACCTGGATTTGTTTCACGGTAGCTCCGAGTTCAAATCTTCGGCCATGCTTATAAATAGCCTTCGGCAAGTTGGGATTCTTAATAATGTTACGTTCAATTTGAATTATTTGTTTCAGTTGTTTGCATGGACCACAATGAGAACAACTGGTTCTACCAGTAATTGTGTAATCCAATAAAGTCATTATTATTATTATTATTATTATTATTATTATTATTATTATGACAGAAAAAGCAACAAGGGTCCAGAATTATAACGCGTCAACCAAATAACAGACGAAACAACAGGTACGCGAGATACTAACGAAACAATCAAATGACAGAAAAAAACAACAAGTGCGCAAGATACAAACACAACAAACAAATGACAGATAAAACAACAAGTGCGCAAGATAGAAACAACGAAAAATGACAGATAAAACAAAAGGTCAACAAAATTCTCACCCAACAATCAAATGACAGAATGATAAAACAACAAGTGCCCGAGTTGAAAACGGAAAAATCAAATGACAGATAAAACAACAGGTGAGCAACATACTGACTCAAAAACCAAATGAAAGACAAAACAAATGAGCGTGATACTGAGGCAACAATCAAATGACAGATAAATCAACAAGTGCGCGAGATACTTGCACAACAGTCAAATGACAAATAAAACAACAGGTAAGCGAGATACTAACGCAACAATCAAATGACAGACGAAACAACAAGTAAGCGAGATACTAACACAGCATTCAAATCACAGATAAATCAACAAGTGCGCGAGATACTAGCATAACAGTCAAATGAAAGATAAATCAACAAGTGTGCGAGATACTGACGCAGCAATCCAGTGACAGACAAAGCAACAAGTGTAACTCAAAACGAAACTTCAAGTGGCCAAGTTACTAACGCAACAATCAATTAAAAGACAAAACTACAAGTGCGCGGGATACAAACGCAACAATCAAATGATACACAAATAACAATTACGCGAGATTCTAACTCTGCAATCGAATGACACTAGGAACAACAAGTAGGCCAGATAATAACGCAACAATCGAATGACAAACAAAATTGCAAAAGCACAAGATACTGACACAACAATCAAATCACAGACAAAGCAACAATTAAACGAGATACTACGACAACAATCAAACCCACAAACTTAAAAGTGAACGAGATACCACTTCAACGATCCGACGACAGACAAAACTACAAGTGCACAAGATATTAACGCAACAATTCAATGACAGACAAACTACAACTATGCAGATACTAGCACAACAATCTAATGACAGATAAAACGACAACTCCGCGAGATACTAACACAACAATCAAACGACGGATAAAACAACAAGTGAGCAAGATACTAACACATCGATCAAATGACAGATATAGCTACAAATGCGCAAGATTCTAAAGCAGCAATCAAATGACAGACAAAACAACAAGTGCGTGAGATACTAGCGCAATAACCAAATGCCTAATAAAACAACAAGTGTGCAAACTTCTAACGCAACAATCAAATGATACACAAAATAGCAAGTGCATGACAAACTAACTCAACAATCGAATCCCTGATAAAACAACAATTGCGCAAAATTTTAACGCAACACTCAAATCACAGATAAAACAACAACTAAGCACGAGATACTAACGCAACAATCAAATGACGATAAAATAACAAGTGCGCGAGATACTGACGCAACAATCAAATAACATATGAAACGACAATTGTGCGAGATACTAACGCAACGACGAAATGACAGATAAACAACAAGTGCGCAAGATACCAACGCATTAATCAAATGACAGACATAAAAACAAGTGAACAAAATACTAACGTAACAACGGAATGACAGATAAAACAACAAGTGCGCGAGATACTAATACAACAATTAAATGACAGATAAATCAACAAGCACGCGAGACACTAACGCAACATTCAAAAGACAGAAAAAACAACAAGTGCACAAGATTCTAACACAACACTAAAATGACAAAAAAAAAACCAGAAGGGCGCCAAATTCTAGCGCCACACTCAAATGACAGACAAACAACAAGTGCGCATGATACTAACACAACAATCAAACGATAGACAGAGCAACAAATGCACGAGATACTAACGCAACAATCCAGTAACACACAAAACAAAAAGTGAACGAGATACTACCTCAACAATCAAGTGACAAACAAAACTACCAGTGTACGAGACACTAGCGCAACAATCAAATGGAAAGAAGCAACAAATGAACGAGATACTGACGCAACAATTAAATGACGAACAGAACTAGAGGTGCACGAGATACTAACACTACTACCGAACGACAAACAAAACTTTAAGAGCACGAGATACTAACGTAAACAATCAATTGAAAAACTAAACTACTAGTACACAAAATAATAACACAACAATAAGATGACCCAACAAACTACAATTGTGGAAGGGGATGTTAGCGTAACAATCGAATTACAGACAAAATAATGAGTGTGCAAGATATTACAGACAGCCAAACGCACGCCGCATTTCAACGCAACATCTTGCAGCATTGTTGATCATGTTGTGAACTGTTGTGAGGGATCTTGCCACAACATATATATACATCCATAAATTTTGCAACAAAAATTTGACCATTTTCAAACTTGATCCAACACCATCCAACATCTGACAAAATGTTGTTACAGGGTGGCCAAACGTGTGCAACACGTTGCGCGTAATAATGTTGCAAGATGTTGCGTGGAAATGTTACACGTTCGACCGGGCCTTAATTCAACAATCAAATGACAGACAAAACTGCAAGTGCACGAGATAATAACAAAAATAAAATGACATAAAACTGCAAGTGAACGAGATACTAACACAAGAATTTGATGTCAGTCAATACTACAAGCGCACAAGATATCAACACAACAAGTTAATGATAGACAAAACACCAAGTGCGCGAGAACCTAACGCATCAATCAAATGACAAACAAAACGACAAGTGCGCGAGATACTAACGCAACAATCGACAGACAAAAATACAAGTGCGCGAGATAATAACAAAATGACACAAAATTACAAGTGCACAAGATACTAAAGCAAAAATTAGATGAAAGACAAAACTACAAGTGCACGAGAAGCTAACGAAACTATCAGCTGAAGGACAAAACTAGAAGTACACAAGATACTAACACATTAACAAAATGACCCAACCAACTTTAAGCATGCAAGATAATAACGTAATGATCAAATGAAAGAGAAGATAACGAGTGCCAAAGATACTAACACATATT